ACAGCAGCAAAACTTCTATCCCAAGGGCAGGGGAAAAAAGTGGCCATTGTGGGAGGAGAAGGAGCCACACAGGAGAGGACTTTCCAAATTAGAGAAAATGAAGTCACAATTAAAAGTACTTTTATACTGTCCCACATCACAAGACAGGCTGTGTTTAGTTGATAGCAGCATCTGAAATGCAATGCAATGAGTTTAATTGTCTTAGTTTTGCGGGCTATTGATGTGCAGCCCTGCTAAGGTACCATGGTAACAGATGCAGCTCCTGACTGAGATTGTGCCTGGGATGGAAAGTCATTCTCTGTTTCGGATTTGTGATATAGTTTTTGTAAAATTCTGCTGTTATGTCTTCAACCTCAGTGTACTGAAAAAGTGCAGCAGATTTATTTAAGCCTATATTAAGTTCTGAGCTTGCAGACATAGGGAAATCAAACCAGTAAAAAGGCCCACAGAATTAAACTGTGTTTTGGGGAATGTAATATTAGGGGCAGCCTACAACAAACTGCCCCATGCATTTCTTTTCCAAAAATGTTTGCTTGAACCTGTGCGGGGATAAAAAGGGCTTTACAAACCTGTGGCAAAACATTTACATGGCCTTTTGCAAAGCCTTCACTTTCACAGAGCAAAAGGTATTGGATGACAGTGTTTCTCAATTTACATTGATGGGGGTAATTGTGATTCTTCCTCTGCCTGGAAAAAAATCCCAGAGAGACTTGATGAACAGCACAATGCCTGGAGACATTGGAGACTGTGCAATGCAAAAGTAGCCATTTAGCATGAGCAAAGTGAGCTTGTTAGATATAATGTAACTTACATCTGATACCAAGGTGATTGCAAAACCAAAAATCCATGCATTTTCCAAAGTCTCCAATCTACTTGGTCTAAGTGGAGGGAATGAGGCATCTCACACAATGTGGCTGCAGCCAAGGTGGCTGCATCAGTCTCCCTGTGGGGTCTGGTCTGTGGCTAGCTCTTATCGCCAAAACCACCCCTGGGAATTGTTGTGGCAGGCTGTTGGTTGCCAAGTACCCGTGCCCGGTGCATTTCTGACAGCTGAACGGCGTCCGTGGCCACGGGACGTTGCCGCGCTCTGTTGCCTTCCTTAGGCTGGCTTGCATGGGAGGGTGACTCAGTGCAGCCAGTGGTGCTGCATGCCTGCTGAAGGACAAGAGGTTCTTTAAGACAGGTGAATTCTGCAATAAAATGCATGTCTTTACTGAAAGAAGGCAGCATGTAAGAATTTAGCAGTCCAGCCTTTCACCAGTTTTGCATTTTTGAGTGTTTTCATATTTCTGTGACATGATTGATGGTAGATAACAGCTCTTCAGTTAATCCTGTGGGCAAAAGTCCCTCATTGCAAGTGCTCTTTTGCTCTCCCTTTTGCTAAAACACCTCCGTTGAACAACTGGCTTTCGGGTTTGATTGTTAGGCCCACATGGTACAGTTTTCAGTGTTTAGTAACTGGCTTCATGGTTCCCTTGTAAATAACCAGATTATTGTATTTTGTACCAGAACCAGGAATAAATGTGTTCTGATAATAACAGCTGTAGAGAAGCCTGGCTGCACAGCAATGGGACAGCAAGAGCAAAACTGTTTCTTGAACAATTGTTAAAATATATTGTTATAAATAATGAATAGTTTTCCTGACAAAACATACTGCTATTAAAAATGGAGATGAGAAGATGTGATGGATCAGTATTTATTTTTTAAAGTGCTGTTTCTTTTACCTGTCAACAAGAATTCTCTAAGTTTAAATGAACTGCACTGCTTTTCTTTCTTGACAGTGCTAGGCTCGTGAACTCACAACTCCAGCAATCATCTACCACTCAGGAAAATTAGCTTTTGAATTTACAACAGCTCTTCATTTGGCTGTCTTGGCTGCAATTTTTAGAAGTAATTAATTTTATACTTTGTGTGTTTCTCACATTCTCAATAAGTAATGGGAGGTTTGAGAGAGAATATAAATCTGTATTTTTATATTAAGGATTTTTTTGTGTTGTTCTTGTATTATTACATCTTTTGTCATTCGAGCATATATATAAGGCAATTTAAGTCATAAGAACTTCTGAGTGTCACATTCTTCCACTTCAGCATTGTAATAAATACTACTTCAGTCAAGAAATTGTCCTCTTAATTTCAAATGGACTACTGACTGAAGTAGTTGCTGGTAGGCATGGATAAGAACAGCAGACTCTGGCTGACAGCCTTTGACGTGCACGCAACTCCTTGAATGTGTAGATGATCACCAACATGACTGAGGAGTGCAAAGCCAACTCCATAGCTCCTGTCTATACTACAATTTACTGTGCACCTTTATATGTGGTCTTTTATAGCTATATGGTGAAACTGAAAGGCCAGCATACTCATTAGGTGATTTAAACTATCTCCATGAGTGGAAAACGTTGGTTTGGGGATTGTAGATCATCGATAAGTTGCTCATGTGTGAAATGAAAAGCCACCTTGAGGTCAGCTTCCAGTAAATTCATACTGAGCTCAGGCAATGTGGAAACACCTGGCTAAGCCCACTAATTATTTGATTGACTACTATGACTTGAAAAACAAGATAGAGGTATTGGACAATAATGACTTAATCTGAACTTTTAAACACTGCTGCTTTTTCAGATAAAGAGATCAGGGTCTGTAGCAAATGCAGCTGCCACAGGGCAGCACAGCCCACTGGTCTGCAGTGATAGTAGCTCTCTGCAAGGAGCACACAGCCGCCTTGATCTGATGAGTTGCATGCCAAGATTTTTAGACAACCAGATTCCTGAGACATGACCTGCCATACTGGAGAGCCAAGGGATAGCGGAGGTTCAAGGGTGATGCAGCCAACAGTGCTTTCTTAGGGTTTCTGCCTAATACTACGGCGGGATGGAGCTGGCTGCAGGGGGAATGGAGCAGGTTCCCAAGAGCAGCCAGTACCATCAGCCTCAGCCGCTTCTGTGTGCCCCTTTCCTCCCTGTGCCGAGGATTCCGATTACACAGCAATCCCTGGGGTAGTGCTGGCTCACCTCTGATTCCATGATCTAAAAGCCATGAGCTGATGAGAGATTAAAAGAGTGGCTCAGAAAGCATTTAAAAGCTGTGATTCTTCTGCTTTTAAGTTGTACTTTTTGCTGGTTCACTGAGAGCTCTTATTTCCAAATGTTTGATATTGCTTTGACCTGTGTGTCCAATGCTATGGGCTTATATGGCTGTAATTTCTTACTTGTCCAATATAAATTTTCTTGAGGAAGTCACCAATGCTGTGTCCCCTGTTGACACTCTTGACATTGTACTGTTCTTAGCCTAACATAAGCTAAAGAGTCTGTTTTTCAAATGGGTTTGTGATGCCTTACAAATTTTATACATGTGAAAACAGTATTTTTATAATGCAGATATGGATTTTGTATAGGCAAAAGGGATATATGAACTGTATAGATGTAATTTTGGTAATCTATACCTGGGCATTTCTGAAATACATGTTGTGAAGGAGCAATTAATGACTAGTAAATAACAAAGAGGTTCCAAATTCTTAACTGAAACCCTGGTCCATGTGCTCTATCAATTAAGGACTCTGTTCTGTCAGTTTTCAAGGGAATTTTTTAATCAGCTGCAGTTATTAACTATAATTTAATACTGCTGTGAATTAAAGTTAACCTATCATATAGGATGTTTCAAAGGGTTCCTCTTGTGACTTTGCATAAGAAATGCCAGAGATGTGAGAGATGTACATTAAATTACATTAAAAATGTAGCCAGAGAGTGCATGTTAGGTTCACCTTATGTCCTGCAGGTACCCACTCATCCAAACTCAAGGTGCAGAGTCCTCAAAGTCACAAACCCCTCTCATCTGAGAGAGGAAGGAGTGACAGCATCTCTCCCTCATCTGATGGCATTGGGGCTAATGAGCCCAAGGGGAGCACCTTGCCAGGCATACACAGGGTCTCTCTTTCAGGACTCACTTCATCCCACCTTGCTCACAGCACTGCATCCTTCAGAGATGCCCTCAAAACAAGCCAGGATCGTCTCAAGAGTGCGTGCTAACAGCACAATGACTGCTCTCTGATGGAGACGCATACCAGCGCTTGGCCTTTCCAAGTCCTGTTGCTCTCTTCAGAGTGAACTGGGCGGTAAGCTTGCCACATCTGGGGTTGTGCTAGCCCTGCAGTTGCTGCCAGAGCTGCAGCTGTAGTCATCCTCAGAGATAAAGTGAGGATGCCCAATGTGCACAGCCTTTTCCCCCCAAGTCCTCTGTACCACCACCACTTGTGCTAGAGCAGTGCTCTAGCGTTGTGCCATCTGCAGTCCTGTTGATAAAGAATTAATGATGCCTAATGAATGAAGCAGCTTGGGAGGTAGAATGAGGTCTGAAGCTACGGCTGGTAAGCTACAGCTGGTACAGCTGTCTGTGCTGCAGCTGGGACATGTACTGAGCTCTGCTGTGCTCTGCTGTGCCCACTCTGAGACTGAGGGGCAGGGGCCAAGGCAGCACACCCCAGCCCTTCCAGAGGTACCAGTCCTATGCGTCTCTGATTTTGTTGTGACATAAGTTATCATAAGCTATTTGGGATGATAAAAGCTTTCTGAGAGTTCATGGGCTAGTTATTAACTTACTACAATGTCTTCATCTGTATGTGTGAACTACTACCACTGTAGTAAAGCTCTAGAGATTGATGCGAGCCAACAGGAACGTGGCTTTTTGCCATGCTCCCTATGGGCACCACTGCTGTTCTATTAAATGAGTTGATTTAGAAGAAATCACCACTGAATTTAATAACTCTTGCAGCTGACCTAATTTTCACTAGAAAGATTTCAGCTTTTCTAGTAGACTTGATGGTATGTCAACTCAGCATCAAGAATTTCTGCGTTTTTTCTATTGCCTGACTGGCATCCTGCCACACTGAGCTAAAGTAAATTACAGCAGGGGGAACTGTCGTTTAAGAATACTAGAAAAATCAGTGTAATTGTTTTACTTAAAGAATTATATTGAAAACATTACTCAATCTGTTTTTCTCTTCTCAGTTAGTAGCCTCCATTGTGTTTATCAGCTTTGGCGTGGTAGCAGCGTTCTGTTGTGCAATAGTTGATGGAGTGTTTGCAGCACGACACATAGTAAGTACAGTGATTTTCTGTCATCTTTCATTTTTGGTTACTTATGTCATTTCTAGCAGGAAAGCATTTTCTTTTGTTTTATGTGTAGCAGCATATTAGTTTTTTTCGATAGTTCTTCTTGTTGGAGAAATGTCTTTTGGCAAAAAATCGACAGGAAAGCCCATCATGCCAATATCCAGAGATGGTGCCAACTGCTTATTCATCTCTCAGGGAGTTCCAGATACAGAGGTGATGTAAAATGATGTAACGACAGGCGTGCTAAAATGCATACCTGCTTAGGAAAGGGGAGCCACTCCAGCCACCACCAGCATTTGTTTCCTTTTGCACAAAGGCTTTGTGGGCGCAGTAAGGATTTGGACCGCACCAGATGGTGATGAGCACCAGAAGTCCCCATGCAATCTTTAGAGGGAAGTGGATTGCAACAGCACAAAGGGAATGTTTTGTTGGGGCAAAGACAGCGGAGGAAGTAGCAGGCTTTGGTTAGAGGTAGTGTGAAGGGGGAACCAGCTGAGTGACAAACAATCCAAAATTCACTACCTGCCTGCCATCAAGGGGTATGTGGGTCATTTAACCAGAGTGACTAGTATTTCCAGTGTGTCTTCAAAACCCATTCCTCCTTCTTCCCCCCAGCCCATTGCCTTCTCTGCTTCAAAAGGACATTTGTAGTCATTCACAGTACTGCTGTTGCAGTAGCGTTACTAGTAGTTCGTTACTGTCTATGAGTGCCTAGGAGTCTTTCTCATGACCTTCTTGTGTGAGCACTAGACAAACTTAGAACAATGTTTTTTTATTTTGGCTCACTGAGTTCAACTTAAAATATTAGACAAAAAGGTTTGATAGAGGAACAAGACAGACTGGGTTGTGGTGTCATTTGAATGTGCCAGTTTACATGTTAGATATGTGTTGTTTGCTGCTCTATCTTTTGAGATAGAATACCTAAAAATCAATCTAAACCCAACCTTTTAATTGAGCTTTGATTTCGAAAAGCATCAAGAAAGAATTAGCTATATGTTTTGATAGACGCTAGAACGCAGATGTAGTGTGCTACATAATACAGCAAGTATGATAGTCTATGACCCCCTCACTGCTATGAAATATCATGAGCCTGTTCATCTTTCTGCTTATGTTTGTTGAGGGGCAGCAGAACACCACTGGCATCAGTAGAAGTCTACTTAATTTTCTGTTAGCAAATGCATCAGAATAATTAGGCTTTGGATCACTTGGAGCATAAAGCTGTAAACTGATTTCTTTTTTACTGTTATTGAAGAGGACTCTAAACCAAATGTGGGCTTCAGAACCTCACGTGCATTGCACAAGGAAGACGACATTTATTGGTATAAAAAACTGAGTTGTGCAACATGAGCATGAATAAACCCTCTGGACTGTAATCATGTTCTGTGCTATACAGACCCTGCATTGTGCTGAAGTGGCCTGCTTTTACTTAGATTTGCCCTGCTGTTGCTCTGGATGACACCTGGTATAACTTCGTCTCTTATTAGCATAAGCCCAGGGAGCCTTTCCATGGGAGCTGCTTAAAAGAGGAGGGGAGCAGATTCCTATTTAGGTTTCCTGCTCCTGAGAATTTGGTGGTTGTGCCCCAGAAGACCACTGCCACTTATTCCAATATGGGACCAATCTCCTAATTTCCCGGAAACCAGACTTATTTTTGTCCTGCTTTGTTGTGATCACTAGGAAGTGTTCAGATGGCACTTGTACACTTTTACACCTTAGAACTGCAATGCAACCGTGCGGCCACAGCCCCCACTGCTGAGGTTAGACACAGATTCGCCTTCTCTGAGGCGAGTTACTGTGTCAGAGGACAGTCTGTGTGCGCAATCATCTCAAACACAGAGACAGGCATCGCCCCTGTTATCTTTCCAGGCGTTTCCTTTGTCAGTTTGCACTCTTCTGGCTTTAAGTTCCTTTCACATTTGTTACTTAGCTGTTTTAGAAACGACACTGCTTCCTATCTAAATCGAACAACAATATCATATTAGAATATTATTATACCCTTATATCTGAAGAAACAGCACCTCATACGTAATACCTACAGTTTATATTTGCCTCCTCTTTATTGTAGCATAAATAGCTGCCTGGCATTGCTTGCTGTCATGGCATGCCCTTGATGTGTTGTTACAGACTAAAAGGTTCCCTTCCAATTCAAGATATTCTATGATTCTGTGATTCAGTTCATTGCAGTGCTCTGCGGGGAGAAAGTGGCCCAGCGAGTTGTCATAGGAGAGCACCAAGGCACAAAGTCATTGCACTCACCCAAGAAGAAAGCATCTTACAATCTTGGGTGCAGTTCTGTATCTGGTTAAGTCAGTGACTTGGTATGACTGCATCGTCTGTGGAGAGCTGGAGACTGGAAGGGGCTGGCCACCATCCAGCCATCCCTCAGAGTGCTGGAGATGGACAACCCAATGACATGAACCTGCTTCAGTCATGGCATGACATGCCTCATGGAAATCTGGTTCCAGCTGTTTACGTTTGGGCCAAGTTTTGTTTATCATATCTGTCTCATCTGGTCTCCTTCACATATTACAGAACAAAGAAATACTTAGTAGTACCATTTGTTGGAAAACTTAATTTGCATGTCAGCATGGTCACACTCACTTCATCTTATTCTCCTCCTCTGTCTAATAAGGAGCTTAACAGGATCAGGTGGAGTAAAGGTGTACATCACCTAATTTCTCTGACTGACACACCTGGGAAATCTGTAGGGGTGGTAGGGTAAGTACACTCCCAATTTGCTTTACAGGAACAGTGAGGTCTTATCAAGAGAAGGTGTGTCGTGCAGATTACGGTGTCATCGCCACTGCATTACCTCCCCTTTGCATCACCACTAATTTCCTTCAGGGAGAGCAGTAACACCACGTTCAGTCCCTTCCCCGCAGGCCAGTACCAGCCATTTTCAGACCTGTGTTGTGCTGTTGCTACTTCAGGCACTGCCTTTGGGGGATAACTGCTGGAGAATTGGAGTAAACTGCCCTCTGTTCAGGGAAAGGACAAAATCAGGGCATGTCAGAGCAGGTGCCCAGGTCTACACTAAAGCCGTAAAGTTTTTGTGAGGAGGAGTTGGGCAGCGTTCACATTTCTGTCTCCAATATCGGGGTGCTGATACCGAGGCTCCAGGTCCCTTTTCTCCTGGAAGGAGAAGTAGTGGCTGAAGCCAGGCAGGCTTCAGACCAACAACAAATACAACATCCTTCACATCAATTTGGAATAAGAAATGTCTCCTGTTTTTCATTTTATTTTTAACTTCATTTGAGTTGGGAGGGATGTGGAGAGGACAAATCACATTATTATAGATTTTTCTTAGCGTGTGCCTGCTGTGGAATGGAGACTATTACTGTTGCACATTTTCTCCTGCTCTTGTAAAACTGTGGATAGAATAATAAATACTTTCTCTGTTTTATTTTCTTCCTAAAAGAAGGCATAAAATTGACAAGAATTCTTCCAGGAAAGGGATGTATTTCAGAAAAGAGATATTTAAATTATTTAAGACTCATTTTAAAACACTTTGCTTAATAGAAAGCTCTGGAGCACAGCACTTATAAAATTAAGAACACTGAAGGAAAAGTAGCTTGATTTAAAAAAGCAGTAGCTTATTTAAAAAATAGTGCAGATGTAATTTACTGTGTAAAGTTAATTTCACCATTGGTCCCTTCAGCTGCGCTTTTCACCTTAAAAAAACCCCAAGCCAGAATCAAATGAAACAAATGAAAGCTGGCATTAATGTGCAGTGTTGTTATTTCAGAAAAATACGGTGATCACAGGAATCCATTATCTGCATTTGTGTTTGCTTGAGGCATTTTGTTATTTAGCGGATGAGAACAGCCCAGCTGTGCAACAGCTAATGGAGATCATCCAACAGCCTCCTCTCACCACACAGGCAGACCCCCTGTCCCACCTCACATACCCATTCTCTGCAGTACCCACTACCCTCCTCTCCATGCCTGCAAGCCTTGACCATTACCGCATGATCCTTAGCTTTGCAGTTATCCCCCAGGCAGAACCTAAAATAATCAGCAGCAAGAAATCCAGTTATGAAGTGAGGAAATTGCCTGCAAGAGCTTCCCGAGAAGGTTAGGGAGATGACAGGTAGCAAAAGCAGGGGAAGATATTTTAAGCTGTGGAGACAAATGCTCTGTGTCATCTTTTCACACGCTCAGCTGGGAATCATGGAACATCGGTACTGACACATAGCCAGTCACATTTTCCTGAAGTATGGGATAAAAAGAGACTCGGGTGTGCCTGAAAGCTCTAGGAGAAGCCAAGAGGTCAGGCAGGGGAAGTCCTCTCTGCTTGACTATAAGAACTGCTTTTTGATCTTTTTGAGTAGAGTTCAAACACCACACCCAGGCAGATTTATTAGAGGGGATCCACTAAAAAGAAAAGCAGAGCTGAAGCACTTGGGATAATACCAGTGAGAACACCAGAAGACACAGCAGTGAAATTGCAACTTGGGACTGTTGCCATTATGCCTTCTCTATGCACCTATTTGGCTTTGTCTTCTCTAAAACAATTCTTCAGGTAGTTCAATGCAGCAATAAATACACCCCTAAGCCTTCCGTTCTCCTCATTGAACAAGCCCAGTTCCTTCAACCTGTCCTGGTACATCCTGTCCTTCAGTCTTCTGATCACTTAGTGGCCCTCCGCTGGTCATACTGTAATTTGTCAAGGTCTTCCTTGTATGGGAGAGACATTAAAATTGGACACCATACTGAGATGTGGCCTCATGAGTGTTCAGCAAAAAGGAATAATCACTTCCTCCAGCCTGCTGCTGATGGTTTCCTAATGCAGCCCAGTACGCAGTTGGCCATCACTTTTGCAAAAGCACCCTGCTAACATATGTTTAACTTGTCCACAAACACATCCGTTGTTTTTTTCTTTGCCAAGCTGCTACCGTGTCAGCTTGAACTGTTGCCTGGGGTTATTCTAGCTCAGATGCAGGATTTTACATTCATGCTGTACAAAACCTAACACAATACAATCAA